AGTGAAGAATAAAAAAAAAAAAAGAAGCCGGTCAGAATAATTCCCAAAGTAGTGCTTGCTAAAAGCTATCCATCCATTCAGTCAATTAATTTGTATATTCACTTGTATTCCCATAATTCATGGCCACCCTGCACATCTCCCCTCCGCCGCCCCCCATGGCAGTGTATTTCTGACAGTGAGAGAGTGACTGGCCAGAGTGACAGTTGCTCTGGCCCTTACCCATGTGTGATAAATCGCTTAGTAATCTCCACAGCACCATCATGCATACATTGAAAGTGTTTAGGGCATTGTAACTTGGGAGAACTTCCAATCTTTCATAAATAACCATTAATCTGTCCCTTTCACATTCAGCTTTCCACATCTGTTTCAAATTGTTCAGTGCTATTCCAGGAGTGCATTAAAGCTCCAGTCCAGGTGGTATTAAGGGGATAAATGAGCCACAGGGAAAAGACACTCTGTATTTTTCTTAAAGCAATTTTTTCTCCTTTGTACAAAGTTAGGAGCCAAGCAATTTACGATTAAGATTTTTGGAGGATATTTTCTATCATTTGCAGCCATCCTTGTTTATGAGTTTAAAAATGCAGCTTTAGCTCTGCCATTCTAGCATACATTAATGCTTTTCTCCATATAGGTAGATTGTAAATATCATTTCTACCAGCATTTCTAAGTAGTTTTAATTCATTATGAGTCCCTGTAGTTTCCTACTGAAGAGAAATGAAAAATCGTTATAACCAAAGGTCAGTTAGGAATAAATGTCTGAATATGCATTTATATTTGTGACATTCAGGAATTTCAGAGACAGTTGTCAATTTTCTGTTTGATTCATTTTTATACAGGAAGCAACTTGCTTTTCAGGAAAAAAGGGATTATTTTATGAATTATAATTTAATATTGTTTTATGTCTGCAACATTTAATGAAAGCTATAAAGGTGCATCTTTTCTTACCATATACAGCCCATAACCTATTCTGTCAGGTACTTTCCAAAGAGAATATTTTCATAATGACCCAAACTATACTGTTAGATTTACAAAAGTCCCATCACATAACGTAGAGAATGCCCTGTAGACTAAATGCATATGAAGATAGCACTGTATGGTACATCAGATGACACATAACTGTAAATGTTTTCAAGTTGACCTTGAAGATGTTAAGGGACTCACAAAAACAAACATCAGACAGGAGGATAACGAAAAGAAGACTCCCTATCTCTGGCATTTGTAATAGGCATAAAAGGAATGACAAGTTGATTATCTGACCCGGAATAAAATGCCCACACAGGAAAAGTAAAGAAAAAGGAAATTCAGCTACATGTCTCTTATCAAGGTTAGTAAAAATTTCATAAATAGATCACATAAAGTATACAAAATCATTGCCTTTGAAAATGGTTGATTTCATAGCTACAGTCTGCAGTTCCATCCATGCGTAGGAGATTGATAGCTGCTCCGCCCATTAGTATTAATGAATGATCAATGCACAGCACACACACAAACACCAGGGAACCAAAGACACCCCACCTACACACTACTTTGTTTTTTAATCTTCCAAATGTTGTAGGATGGCTACTGCCTTATAAGTGGAAAATCATTAAGTATAGCACATATTATTTCCCATAGCTGAAACTGACATCTCATAGAAATTAGTGAGGAAATGTGACCTTATTCATCTATCCGTCTGTTATGTTAAATTCTTTCTCACCTCTTTGTCATCTAAGGGATGTCTGTGACCATTAAGGAAATGTAGCCTGCACTGCTAGGACATTTCATTAAGGAAAAAATTCAGAATGATGTTAGTAGTCTGCTTAGTGAGAAAAATTCCTTCTCCTGGGAGTTCTCCAATAGTGTTAAATGCACTGTCACAGAATATCACTGCTTTTCCCGAACTCTGCATTCAATAGAGTAAGACCTTTTGTTCTTTTTCTGATGAAGGATAGGAATTGACAGTTCACCGTTCTTATAATTGCCAAAGTTTTCCAATTTGTTGATACATCTTCAAATATAGGTTTTAAAAAACCATTATAAAGCTCTTGCTTAGGCCTTTCCCCTGAAAAACAGACTTACCTCCTTTGGTGTACTCTCAGAGGTCTTATTTTACTTTAAAACAATCACCCTTTTCACTTATGAGCCTCGGTCAGTACATGGTTCCCACCTGCACTCCCTTATATTTTCTACTCAGGTGGCATCGTGGTGCATTTATATTTATATAAGGGTCTAGCTAGTCATATAGTCCCCAAATATTATACTTACTTACTTGTATCTCAGTGTCATGCTTAAAATAAAGCACCAAAAAGCACTCAGTAAATACAGTTGAATGAAAGGAACATTTCCTTCAAACCTTATAGTTACTGTGCTGCCATCACACTCTAGTGTCTGATTCTCCTCCCTCCTGGTGGTTCCTTCCTGCCTTCTAATTAGACTAATTTCTCTAAGTATTGTTTTCTTCTGTCTACATTTCCTTCCACAACGTTATTGCTCCTATGATTTCAAGGTTCCCCTCTATATGACTGCCATCTACATCTGTGTTATCTGGATGGATCACCTCCATCCTTGACTTTTCCCCCAATCTTTAACTCCCATAGTCTTCTCTTCCCGTATCTAATCCATAGGCAGGTCCCAAACACTGTAGTTAAATGATGTCTCTAGCACCTGTTTCCCTTCCTCCAGATCTCCTTCCCTTTCTATGACACCATTTCTTTAATGTTATTCTCACCTACAAAGTCATGCCCATCTATAAGCCAGCTTGCATACTGATGCCAGGTTAGTTCTTCTAAAATATAATATAATCCCTTTATTGAAACCCCATGGCCAATGATAAATTCAGATATCACTGTCAAACTGGTTCCCTAGTACCTTTTAGCTTTCTTTCTACTGTGCCCTTTTATGAGTCTTACACTGTAGCGAGAAGCAGTGCAAAACTCTGAAGTTAGAACAATTGAATTTGAATTCTGGTTCTGTCACTTACTGGCTCTGTGATCATGGTCAAATCACTTAACTCCTCTATGTCTCATTTTTCTCACCTTTAAAATAGGGATAGTAGTTGGACCTACGACAAAGGATTATTATAAGGATTAAATGAAACACTCAGGGCAGTGTCTAGCATACAGTTAGGGGTACAATAAGTGTTACTCATTATTAGACTCCATTTAAAGGGAACGATTTGCATTTCCCATGCACACCTGTAAGTTCCTAGCCCCATGCCTTTCTCATGATGTATTTTGTTTTCAGAATGTTCTCCATTTCCATCACTATTTGTTTAAACCCTGCACATTTTACATTCATGTGTCCCCTCTTCCATGTAGCTTTCTGGAAAACCCCCAATACTCAGTTCAGCTTTTGAATTTCCATAGCATCTCCTGTACCTCTTTCAGTATTTAGCCCTTTCTATTTTGTATTATAATTAGGTGTATACATATCTTCTGAAAATACAGGGGAAAACCAGAACTGTTTTATGAATTTTTGCATTTTTCTCAGTGTCTAACCAAACATGAGATACTGTGTTTGTTGACTAAATGAATGAATACCCCTCTTGTTCACTTACCTTTTCCCTAATATGCAAGTGCAATGTGGTTTGAGAACCTGGCCAAAATTATTATCTTCTCCTTGCTTGGTTACGTAATTGATCTCCTTCTATCCTAACCCCACCCTTTCCTCTTCTCTTTTTTCCCCCCTTTTCCCCATACCTCTGACTCTTCCCCCTTTTCTGCTCCACTTACCTTCTCTCTGTCCCACTCTCCCCTCCCCGTCTTCCCTTTTCTCCTCGTCTTCCTCCTCATCATTGTCTTGAATTCTAGATTCCCACTTTTTAAAATTTCCTCCACAAACTCATAGCCAAGATCTGTGGGAACAAAGCGATACTACTTCAAGAGGGAGATGTTTTCTGATCGTTTTTTTGTTACTCTCTTTGTCAAAAATAATAGAGCATGTAGCATTCAATTATAATGCAACTTATTCATCTGAGCTACTGAGAAGCAAGCAATGGTTAAATGGCAAATAAAAACAAGCCCAATATCTGGACAAGGAGAAATAATCTCACAAGAACTTTTTAATTACATGTGCTTATTGTTGCCATATGTTTTGTTTTGTTTTTGCGGTACGCGGGCCCCTCACTGTTGTGGCCTCTCCCGTTGCGGAGCACAGGCTCCGGACGCGCAGGCTCAGCGGCCATGGCTCACGGGCCCAGCCGTTCCGCGGCATGTGGGATCTTCCCGGACCGGGGCACGAACCCGTGTGCCCTGCATCAGCAGGCGGACTCTCAACCACTGCGCCACCAGGGAAGCCCTGTTGCAGTATGTTTTGAGTACAGTTTGTCTTTCTAGAAAAGGGAAACAATTGTGTCATGAGATTGTTTTAAAGAGGAATTTGACCAAAGGTCTCCAAGAATAAATTCATTTCTTATTGTTAATTTCTTCCCTCTTTTCTCATTTACAATGGCGTTTTGAGTCCTAATCCTTTCTTCCAACATCTTAACTGTCCCTTCCCCTTAATCAATATCCTGTTTCTTTCTCCTAAATTTGAAAACCATCTAAAATGTCATATTATGTTCTGTTTTCCATTTCCACATGTCTTGAAATGTCTCATCCTGTTGGAGGAACATTCTCATGAGTTCTATTAGGGATACCAATATCCTAATTAATTATGAGCTTACACAAAACCAATGTGATCTACTTGTATTTATGAATATAAATTTGAAAGATATAGTATGCTATTATCTCTATTATAGGATTGAGGGGTGTGAAGTTAACAAAATTGAATGGTAGATTGGAAAGTCAAACTTGAATTCTTATTTTATAATCGTGATATGAAGCCATATGTAAAGTTTAACGATTTTAAAACCTTTCTGCTTATGCTTCCCTTCCTGAGCCATAGTCAGTTAATGCTTAGGACTGGATACAATGTGGAAGTAATTCTGAGGATCCCAACTGACAACATTATGCATCTACTGCTATGGGATCATCATTATAGTAAATTTGTTCTCAAAACTGGCATCTTTTTTTCTAATTTAGGGTAGAAATTTAACATCTGGAGAGGTTGGATTTTTTCCGAGTGATGCTGTCAAGCCTTGCCCATGTGTGAGTATTTTATTTCTTTCTACTTTGTTTTTTGATGCTATAATGAATTGTCAAGAAAGTACAAAGGATACTGGTCTGGCCCCTCATTAATTCTATTAATATTTTCTTATTAATAACATATTCCAAGATTATGATGATTCCATTGTCAGGGAATATTTTTAAATGTTAAGGGAAGGGGCTTCCCTGGTGGCGCAGTGGTTGAGAGTCCGCCTGCCGATGCAGGGGAAACAGGTTCGTGCCCCGGTCCGGGAAGATCCCACATGCCACGGAGCAGCTGGGTCCGTGAGCCATGGCCGCTGAGCCTGCGCGTCTGGAGCCTGTGCTCTGCAACAGGAGAGGCCACAACAGTGAGAGGCCCGCTACCGCAAAAAAAAACAATGTTAAGGGAATACATGCAACAGGAAAATTTTACTTAGTATAATTTACAAAATTAACATTTTTATAAGGTTTTAGAAGGAATAAACTAAAGCTACTGATCAGATGTATTGTACAAACTTCCCTTTTCCCTCTGAGGTAAGAATGGTATGGTCTAATATATTTCCAGTCACTTTGGGTTACAGAGAGATTGCACTTCAACTAGTGTGTTTGAAAGCCTGCTAGAAAGCATGAATGTCTGCAGATTCTTCAGTCAAATCTCTTAATATATTTTTCTGTGCTTTAGTTTGTCATAACTGTTTATTTAGTGTCGTAATGACATTTTCTGAAAACATCAAACACGTTAGGCAGATACCAGAAGAATGAATATTTACTCAAATATTATTATGGATGAATATAACGTAAAATATATTCTCTGACGCTTTATGAAATTTATAAATTTCTGTTTAGGGTGATGTTATTTTATCATCGTAATTTGGTGTTTGGGGTAGATTTTTCTGTGACACTTTTCAAGTTCTTAACTCTAATTAAAGGAAATTATTTTACTAATACAATGGAGTTATTGGTTTGTGGGGAAAAAAACCTTCTTAAACTATTCTGCTTGCCTTATTTCAGTCCTTCCCAGTTTTCTAAACTGAACATTCTTTTTAATATTATAAATGGGAATGTCTGCCATCCTTAACCTCAGATGTAGTCTGAAGAATAATTTACTCCACTCATTCAAGCTTAATTAATTTCAAAAGCAAAGGGAATCAAAAAAAAAAAAAAAAACTCTTGCTATTTCTGTTGGTTCTATGATCTAATGCCACATATTATTCAGGTTATGTTGTAATCTTGAAAACAATTATTGAAATTTCATACCACTCTCATTTAATTAGATAAGCAAAAATGATTCTTTAGCTAGTTTTCTGTCATTTATATGAATAAGATTAAGGCTTCCTATTCTTAAAGAACTGATATTTATATGTAGGCACATAGCAGAAAATTAACATTAAGATTTTGGGAACCTAGCATAGGGAGCTCAGCTTGGTGTTCTGTGATGACCTAGATGGGTGGGATGGGGGGGTAGGGGAGGGAGGCCCAAAAGTGAGGGGATATATGTATACATATAGCTGATTCACTTCATTGTACAGCAAAAATTAACAACACTGTAAAGCAATTATACTCCAATTAAAAAAAAACTGTTAAGCATTTCATGTACCATGTACTGTTTTCTTTTCACAGCTCCTTGAATATAGCATAGAATGAGCATTTGAAGTTTTATTTTAGGAATAGTATGGCATATAGTAGGTATTTAATAAATTTTTGTTGTATGAATGAACAAAGAAGTGAAAAAGCAAACAAAAGTTCCTAACTAAATGTAGGTAATTAACAATGGCAGATATTAATTAAATCAGCTTATAGGATAATGAATGATATTTTGTGATCTGGTTAGTTACTAGAAAAAGAAATGTGCTTACAATTTTAGCTAATAAAGAGTTGTAGAGGAACACATAATTATGGGTAGGACTACCAACTAAATATGATTGTTTTATAGCTTAAAGTTAATAAATAGCTATTAAATTTTTACTGCTTTATTTAATGAAATTATAGATTCATTTGTTGGTTGTAGGTTAAGTTAGGTGAATGAAGCTAAGCAGAAGGAGGAAAAACACAGGAGACAATTTCATTTCTGGCAATATGGTTACTGGAGAGAAAGCCTAGAGCTAAAGCACAGTGCAAACTTGGGTGTCTCTCTGTGAATCGCAGAGCCCTCAGTGGGTGAACAAGAAGAAAACTATCTCACAGGAGAAGATATGCCTATCTTTGTCTTGGATCTTGGTGGGGAACAGAAAAAAAAAAGTCTCTCTCCCCTAAGAATTCTTAACTTTAGATCCAAAAACCACCCACATGGGGGGTTGGAATTCATACTAGCTTTGTGACCTAAATAATACTAAGCTAGAAACATAGTAGAACATACATATCAATAATTACCTTAAACATAAATGAATTAAATGTTGCAAACAAAAGACACAGACTGGCTGAATGGATACAGAAACAAGATCCATATATATGCTGTCTACAATAGAACCACTTCAGATCTAGGGGACACACACAGACTGAAAGTAAGGGGACTGAAAAAGGTATTTCATGAAAATGGAAATCAAAAGAAAGCTGGAGTAGCAATACTCATATAAAACAAAATAGACTTTAAAATAAAGACTATTACAAGAGACAAAGAAGGACACTACATAATGAGCAAGGATCAATCCAAGAAGAAGATATAACAATTATAAATATATATATATATATATATATATACACCCAAATATATGAGGCAAACATTAATAGCTATAAAAGGAGAAATCAACAGTAACACAATAATAGGGGAGGACTTTAACACCCCACTTTCGACAGTGGACAGATCATTCAGACAGAAAATCAATAAGGAAACACAGGTCTTAAATGACACATTAGACCAGATGGACTTAATTGATATTAAAGAGCATTCCATCCAAAAGCAGCAGAATACACATTCTTCTCAAGTGCACATGGAACATTCTCCAGGATTGATCACCTGCTGGGCCACAAAGTGAGCCTCAGTAAATTTAAGAAAATTGAAATCACATCAAGCATCTTTTCCAACCACAACACTATGAGATTAGAAATCAACTACAAGGAAAAAAACTGTAAAAAACCATGGAAGCTAAACAATATGCTACTAAACAACCAATGGATCACTGAAGAAATCAGAGAGGAAATCAAAAAATACCAAGAGACAGATAAAAATGAAAGCACGATGATCCAAAACCTATGGGACACAGCAAAAGCAGTTCTAAGAGGAAAGTTTATAGCAATACAGTCTTACCTCAGGAAACAAGAAAAATCTCAAATAAACACACTAAGCTTACACCTACAGCAACTAGAGAGAGAAGAACAAACAAAACCCAAAGTTCATAGAAGGAAAGAAATCCTAAAGATCAGAGCAGAAATAAATGCAATAGAGATAAAAAACAATAATAAAGATCAATGAAGCTATAAGCTGATTCTGTGAAAAGTTAAACAAAATAGATAAACCTTTAGCAAGACTCATCAAGAAAAAAGGGAAGGGGCTCAGATCAATAAAATTACAAATGAAAAAGAAGTTACAACTGACACCACAGAAATACAAAGCATCATGAGAGACTACTATAAGCAACTATATGCCAATAAAATGGATAATCTAGAAGAAATGGACAAATCCTTAGAAAGCTACAATCTCCCAAGACTGAACCACGAGGAAATAGAAAATACAAAAGGACCAGTGTGGATGCCTTCTATGTAATAAAGGCCATATGTGACAGCTAGCATCATTACTCAATGAGGAAAAGCTGAAAGCATTCCCTCTAAGATAAGGAACAAGACAAGGATATCCACTCTTGCCACTTTTATTCAACATAGTTTTGGAAATCCTAGCCACAGCAATGAGAGAGGAAAAATAAAATGAATCCAAATTGGAAAGGAAGAAGTAAAACTGTCACTGTTTGCAGATGGCATCATACTATACATGGAAAATCCTAAAGGTGCTACCAGAGAACTACTACAACTCATCAATGAATTCAGTAAAGTTGCAGGATACAAAATTAATACACAGAAATCTGTTGCATTTCTATACACTAACAACAAAAGATCAGAAAAAGAAATTAAAGAAACAATGCCATTTACCATCGCATCAAAAATAATAAAATACCTAGGAATAAACCTACCTAAGGAGGCAAAAGACGTGTACTCTGAAAACTATAAGACACTGATGAAAGAAATCAAAGATGACACAAACAGATGGAGAGACATACCATGTTCTTGGATTGGAAGAATCAATATTGTCAAAATGACTATACTACCCAAGGCAATCTACAGATTCAGTGCAATCCCTATCAAATTACCAATGGCATTTTTCACAGAACTAGAACAAATTTTTTTTTAATTCGTATGGAGATACAAAAGACCCCAAATAGCCAAAGCAATCTTGAGAAGAAAAACAGAGCTGGAAGAATCAGGCTCCCTAACTTCAGGCTATACTATAAAGCTACAGTCATCAAAAGAGTATGGTACTAGCACAAAAACAGAAATATAGATCAATGGAATAGTATAGAAAGCCCAGAAGTAAACCCACATTCCTATGGTCAATTAGTCTATGACAAAGGAGGTAAGACCATAGAGTGGAGAAAAGACAGTCTCTTCAATAAATGGTGCTGGGATAACTGGACAGCTACATGTAAAAAAATGAAATTAGAACATTCTTTAATGCCATTTACAAAAATAAACTCAAAATGGATCAAAGACCTAAATGTAATACTGGATAGTATAAAACTCTTAGAGGAAAATACAGGCAGAACACTCTTTGACATAAATTACAGCAATATCTTTTTCAATCCATCTTTTAGAGTAATAGAAATAAAAACAAAAATAAACAAATGTGACCTAGTTAAACTCAAAATCTTCTGCACAGCAAAGGAAACCATAAGCAAAACAAAAAGACAACCCACAGAATGGGAGAAAATATTTGCAAATGATGCAACCGATAAGGGATTAGTCTCCAAAATAAACACTTTATGCAGCTCAATAAAAAAAACCAAATCACCCAATCAAAAAACGGGCAGAAGACCTAAATAGACATTTCTCCAAAGAAGATACACAGATGGCCAAGAGGTACATCCAAAGATGCTCAACATCAGTAATTATTAGAGAAATGCAAATCAAAACTACAATGAGACATCACCTCACACCAGTCAGAATGGCCATCATCAAAAAGTCTACAAACAATAAATGCTGGAAGGGGTGTGGAGAAAAGGGAACCCTCCTACACTCTTGGTGGGAATGTAAATTGGTACATCCACTATGGAGAACAGTATGAAGGTTCCTTAAAAAGCTAGAAATAGAGCTACCATATGATCCAGCAATCCCACTCCTGAGCACATATCCAGAGAAAACCATGGTTCAAAAGGATACATGCACCCCAATATTCATTGTTGCAATATTTACAATAGCCAAGAAGACATGGAGGCAACCTAAATGTCCACTGACAGATGAATGGATAAAGAAGATGTGGTATATATATACAATGGAATATTACTCAGCCATTAAAAACAATGAAATAATGCCATTTGCAGCAACATGGATGGACCTGGAGATTATCATACTAAGTGAAGTAAAACAGAGAAAGACAAATATTATGTGATATCGCTTATATGCGGAATCTAAAAAAATGATACAAATGAACTTATTTACAAAACAGAAACAGTCTCACAGAGGTAGAGGATGAATTTATGGTTACCAGGGGGAGCGGTGCGGGGGAGGCATAGATTGGGAGTTTGGAATTGACATTTACACACTGCTATATTTAAAACAGAAAACCAACATGGACCTACTGTATAACATAGGGAACTCTGCTCAACATTCTGTAATAATCTAAATGGGGAAAGAACTTATATATGTATATGATGTATATGTATAACTGAATCACTCTGCTGTATACCTGAAACTAATGCAACATTGCTAGTCAGCAATACTCCAATATAAAATAAAATTTTTAAAAAGAAACATAGTATAAAATGATACCACATTGATTGTGTTCCCAGTGCAAGTACAGATTCTCTCTAGATTGGCGCCTCAAAGGATTTCTACTGATAAAGTCCCAGGGATTATAAATTCACAATTTGGAATAATTATATTTATGAGGAAACAAACCCACCTTAAGCAAAAGTCAGCAGAGACAATAAAATGCAGAATTAGACCCACAAAGACAACAGGTAGTGGAATTATCAGATACTAAGTTCAAAATTGTATGTTTAATATGGTTGAAGAAATAAAAGGGGGAATAAAAGTCTAAAAGGAAAACAAGTCACTCTCGTTTGGGCATATTTCAAAAAGAATCAGATATAGCAATTGAAGTGAGGAACAATGGAAACATTACATGATGTATGAGACCCAGCTGGGCAGAAAATTGGAAGAAAAATCTGAATAAATTTCTCAGTGAAAAGTCCAGAAAGATTAAGAGATAGAGAATGTAAGAGAATGGAATGATAAAGTTCAAATACATCTATTGAGAGAGAGAATATAGATAATTGTGGGAAAGCAATGTTCAAATGATGGCTGAGAATTTTCCAGAATTTATGATAAAACTAATCTTAATAGTCAAGAAGAATATATTAAACTTAATCAATACCTAGATACATTTTAGTGAAACTGCAGAACATCAAAGACAAAGAGAAAATATTAAAACCACCCTGAGAGAAAATACAGATTACCTATAAAGGGTTGATGATTAGACATATAGCTAACAACAGCAATAATGGAAACAATAGGAGTTTCCACTTCTGGTCATCGTCAAGTAGCTCCTATTGGACCAAGCCTCCCACAGAAAATAACTACAAACTCTGGACAAAATATTTTTTACAAAAACAACTATCTGAACATACTGGCTAGGAGAGGACTTGACATTCAGAAGAAGGATGATACTAGGTGAGTTTCCTGGCTTTAAGGCTAGCTTAAGGACAAACACTGGGCTGCACCATGCAGGGTGGCTGAAATACAGATAGAAACCTCACAGTATTACTGGCTTGAAGGGCAGAATATGGAGTTTGAAGCAAACACAATCTGGAAAGGGAGATAAGAAATCTTAGAAAGGAAAGAAGAGTGAGGGAGAACCTCAAATTCTGTGTATAAACATTGCCTCAGTCTCTGAGTGGTGCAGACTTCAAGTAGCTCAGCTTAGGCTAAAAGAACTTAACGAAGTATTCAGTTGCCCCTTACCACAGGGAAGACAGAGTTTGCGGTTGGAGTTCAAACAAGTTAACTGCCTGCTCTAAGAAAAACCACACTCTTTGTAGGAGCATAACTGAATCCAGGGCCTCTACAGCATATCATTCAAATCGTCCAAGAGGCCATCTAAAATCACTCAGTATACAAAAAAACAGGAAAACGTGAACCACACTCAAAAGAAAAGACAATTAAAGGATAACAACCCTCAGATGTCCCAAATGATAGAATTTGCAAGAAAGGATTTTTAAAGTAGCTATTATAACTGTGCTCAAGGACATAAATAAAGGAAAATACAGTTGACCCCTGAAACATGCAGGGATTAGGGTGCTGACCCTCCAAGCAGTGGAAAATTCACCTATAACTTATAGTCGCCCCTCTATATTCACAGTTCCTCCATATCTGTGGTTTCACATTCATAGATTCAATCAAATGCAGATTGTGTTGTATTGTAGTATTTACTATTGAAAAAAATCCACGTATAAGTGCACCCATGCAATTCAAACCCGTTTTGTTCAAGGGTTAACTGTATGTTTATAATGAATGGACAGGAAACCTCAGCAGAGAAATAAGAACTATAAAAAAGAACTGAATGGGAATTCTATACAATGAAATTTCAATATTTGAAGCAGTAAGAATAATATACTCAAAGTTTTGAAAGAAAATTAGAAATATATCTTTCCTCAATGAGGATGAAATAATGACATTTCTAGCCTAACAAACACAGAAAGTTCACTTCTGTCTCATCTAGCTTTTATAAAATGTACTTGGGAAGAAGCATATATCTTATATTTAATTTTATATGTATGCTATATTCCCAATGAAATTTTTTTAAAACGCTACATCCACAGCAGAAGTTTTAACAATGTAAACAGCCTATGATGAAGGCAGAAAAAGGCATTAGGGAAAAACTGTCAAAGATGAGAACAAAATTGTTTATAGCCTTATATATGAGATATTCCTCTAGATGAGGGCCCAAAGTACACATGATAGAAATGGGGAGGGCTCATGTCAGATGGAAAAGGACAGGATCCTACTCTGATGATGGGGATCACAGCTGAGAAGACAGTCCTGGCTCATCACGCATCAGAATGTACCAAAGAGAGGAAAAGCTTCAGAAGGACAGATCCGGATGGAACAGCCTCAATCTCTGTTTTACTTTAGAATTTTATGTCACTCTTCACTTTTGTGGATCCTTCCCAGCTGAGAAAATCCAGTCAAAATATGTTGAAGCTCTTTACCTGCTCTGTCCTCTTTCTCTCTTTTTGTTGTCGTTCTCCAGGAAGAGAGAGATAGGTTTAGGAATAAGCATACATTTGAAGAATACAGAGAGGTAGAGGGAAGGAGGAAAACACTTTTTTCCCCATCAGATTTCTGAGGTCATGGATATTTTACTAAAAGGGAAACTGTTGAAGATTGATTTCAATTTGCGAAAACAAAATGGTATAAGAAAATATTCGCAGGAGTCGAATGGTATAATTTACTTTCAATATGGTATCTGTGTATCAGGATTTTACACAGTGGTGAAATTGAAAATGTGATCCATAGGATAAAATATTTAAATATTAGTAACTTTAGAGATGTTCTGACCAGAAGGATAGTTTTTTACAAATAATTCTTAACCTGGAAGGTCAAAATAGTAACAGCCCATTATGAAAATGGACATAGCTAGAGATATATTCACATTAACCAGACCTCAGTTACAAGTGAGGGTAACAGTATTTTTAATCACGCAGTATTAAAAGGCCCAGGAATAACATGGAATGTATACATCAAAGATTCAGGTGATTCATGAAAATTACACAGTATGAATTGTATTTGTTGTTTTATGAATATTGGTGTGCCTTCTTTGGCTTTGCTCATTTTCTAATTGCAATCTAGCAACTAGAAGTTTTCTTTTTCTTTCTTTATTTGCATAGAAAATAAAGTTTTTCTCTTTTGTAAAGCTCCATAGGAGAAAAGGGAAAAATGAGTATTTCCTATGACTTTTTCCTAAATAAACGGTTTTCCAGTTGGTAGACTTCTAAATCAGAGTTTAAAATTTGTGATACACAATAAGAGTCTATATCAGGTGTATATTGTTTATTTTGCCTGTTTTCCCCGTGTATTGGGAAAGCAGTGTGCTATTTGGTTTTCCTAACATTTTCATTTTAATTTTCTATGATAGGATTAAACTGCCTTGATAATAAATACCAAAAGATTCCAATTCATATTTTTCCTGTTATCTCTTCCTTTAGAGGTACCGTGGCAGTAAAATGAATGAAAGAATTAAAGTGAAATGAATTATTTTCTACTTATCTGACATATACTATGATTCGCTCTGTATAATATTGCCAATGGATAATTCTAGGACTGTGCTACCTAGGGTTTTATAGAGCTGAGTCAGCTGAACTGAATTAATGATTGATTTCTAAAAGCTTCCCTTAAGTAAACTTAATCTATTTTTGCCTTTTTACATCCTAGGTGCCCAAACCAGTAGATTATTCTTGCCAACCCTGGTAAGTATTAAAAATGTTTATGTAGCTGAGTTGAAATACCATACCCTTAGCTCGAGGACGCCTTAAATGAGGGAGTAGTAAACTACATTCCATTTCCATTTGTCCTGGCTAAAGCTGTTTTCAGATGCAACAAAACACCATAATGAATTTATATATTGCTGACCTTTCCATATCTTTATCAGAGAGTGGTGCATGTGTGTGTACAAGCACATGTACTTGGCTGTAAATCCAAAGTTTATACCATCCACAGAGAGGAATGGGACATGGGCAAATATGTATATTGTATTTTAGAAGAGTAAATTTCATGGAGTTGAGAAAAAAGGTATGATTCCATTTTCTGAAACTAAAATTTAACCCAGAAAGGACAGTAGATCCTAAAAATACATTTTATAACACATAATATTGGAGGAGCAAGATGTGTCCAAGTCTAAAGTTTTAGGTCTCTGTGGAGCTCACATAACACTTGGAGGTTAGCAGTATCACTAACAGAAACAAGGAAGCAGTAGATAGTGATTATTATTTTTTAGACATTATGAGTTTAAGGGGAAATGATATCCTCAACTGGAAAAACTATTCAGAATCTAGAATAGTTATAATCATTATATGATAATAACTAACATATTCTGGGTATTTAGTATGTACTTAGTATTTTACACATTTTGTTTTGTTTTTCCAACATCTGTTTAAGGAAGGTTATTTTTATTATTTTTACAGATGAGGAAACAAAGGTTAAGGCCAACCAGCTAGTAAATGGTACAGCCAGGATTCCAAGTTATGCTGTCTGTACATTGGCACACCACCTGTTAAAGTACAAAACATGGGCATATTTACTTATTGATATTTGCTTCCTGAATTTTGAGTTTGGCTCCTCTTAAAATGACTGCATCTATTTTTACTTTCTTGATATTGAAATATATGTATACAAACTAGATATCAGGATATGTATATAAATGAGATATTCTGAGAGTATATAGTACTAGTTCGGTTTGCAGGTGTAGCTAACACCTGAGTTCTTTGATATTTTAAATTCTGATCATTTTCTGTTATATAACCAAAGCATGAAAAATGCCGGGTTACTGTAGGAATATATTGTCCATAGTATGAGATCCTCTCCTCAGCAGTCTTGCTCTCCCTCCCCAGCAATTTCTGCCTTCTGTGGTCATTGTCTGCTTTCTCTGACATCCCTCTCTGGGCTTCAGCACTGAGCTTGCTGGAGAAATTGTAGTAGGTCTGTAATGGAACTGGAAATCTTTGCTACATGTTTACCTGGTTTAAGATAAATTTGAGGTCTTACTTTTCGTGGAATTAAAGACTGTAATCCTGACAAATTAACTTTGGAGAATAGAGCTGTTGGAATGGATAATCAAACTGAAAAACATCAAGGACTGGTGAAATCATGAGAGTGTGATGATAGTTTCCTTCTCTTTTCTTTTACTATTTTTCATGGAAGTAGGCATAATAGTTACAAGAGTAATGATTTTAGAGAAATACTAAAGCCACAAACTAGATGGATTTTTTTTTAACTGGAGTATAATTGCTTTACAATATTGTGTTAGTTTCTGGTGTACAACAAAGTGAATCAGCTATATGCATACCTATATCTCCTCCCTCTTGGACCTCCCTCCCATCTCCCCCAATCCCACCCACCTAGGTCATCACAGAGCACCAAGCTGAGCTCCCTGAGCTGTACCACAGGTTCCCACTAGCTATGTATTTTACACATGGTAGTGTATTTATGTCAAACCTAATTGCCCAATTCATCCCACCCTCCCCTTCCCCCTGTGTCCACATGTCTGTTCTCTACGTCTGTGATGGATTTTATGAAATAAACCAATCAGGTACCTGGGAACCAGTCAGGGCACAGGAGATTTGTTTTTGAGCCCTTTGTTTTAAAATGTACCCTTGCCAATATGTAAAATTCTATTGAATATATGACCTGTTAGAAAAGTATCGTTCCTACTGATAAAAAAAAAAAAAAAAATCAAGATGTTCAGATGAGGGAAGACCCTTGAAAACAGTAAGAAATAGATATAGTATAATTTCATAATTACTTTTTCTTCTTTTCTGAGCAACTTGGACAATTTCTTCACACTAAGCAGGCAGTTTCATGTGAAATGACTTCTGCTAAGGAACAAAATGATCAGAAAATGAAATCTTCAATTTTAGAAATACTAAACTGTTTAGAGAAAAATTACACTGTGGTTCTCAAGTCATTAAGAAAGTGAATAACACCAACTGTATGGTGTATTTATTATTTCCACATTTTAAAACAAGTTGTTCCCATAAGGTAAACTTTATCTTAGGCCGTGAAATAAAACAGAATTCAAGATGATTATCTTCAACAATCTATGTTTTGGGGTGTCATGAAGGCAGGGGTGAGGCATGGGGCTTAAATCTGGGGAACTGTCTGAAAATCCTTATGAAGAAAAGGATACAGATGCCAAGGAACCTACCTCATCCTCCAAGTAGTCAGGCAACTTACCCTTCCCTACCTTAGCAGGAGACATAAGTTAGAAGGTATATTACATGGAAAAATGGAGCCATATGGGGCCTAGACTTGGAAAGAGCAGGACCAGCAGAGATTGGGAGAGCTGTCATACTGAAACCAGATGGGTCAAATTAAGGAAAGTCAATATACAGACTGATGATGATTCCCAGTTCCTTTGTGTAGCTCAATTTCAGTACTGTGACAGCTGTGTCTCACACACATGGACTACTCTCTTCTTGCATCCAGATAGGAATTTGGAAGATTTTTCTCTAAAGAAACAGAATAGACTCAAAATAAAAAATCTAAAATCCAGCCCCATCATAAGGTTCTTGCCAAACGATCAGGTTCCCACCCAATGAGCCTCCCTTGCTTCCTCCACACAGAGCTTCCAGTCAGTTCTTGGCTTGGATGCCCTTCCTCTTAAATATAAGCAGACAACAAGGAGTAACCAGACATTTGAGAAAAGCCTTGAAGTAAAGAATAAATAGGAAAAAGAAACTTGGAAGAATTACAGACATTAGAATGGGCAGAAGAAAGAAGCCTTAAAGTTATATTCTCAGAATTAAGAGATGACAATGTATCCATAGAAGTGAGCTGGATGTTTTATAAAAGCAACAATCAGATAATAAGAAAGAGCTCTTCTAGTTAAGTATTGAGTACAGAAACTGGAAAATAAAGTTGAGTAAATCCTTCAGAAAATCAAAGAGAGATAATATGAGAGAAAAGATAGAGTAGGGGGCTTCCCTGGTGGCGCAGTGATTGAGAATCTGCCTGCCAATGCAGGGGACACGGGTTCAAGCCCTGGTCTGGGAGGATCCCACGTTCCGCGGAGCAACTAGGCCTGTGAGCCACAACTACTGAGCCTGCACGTCTGGAGCCTGTGCTCCGCAACAAGAAAGGCCGCGATAGTGACAGGCCCGCGCACCGCGATGAAGAGTGGCCCCTGCTTGCCGCAACTAGAGAAAGCCCTTGTACAGAAACGAAAACCCAACACAGCCAAAAATAAATAAATAAATAAATTTTAAAAAAGAAAAAAAAAGATAGAGTAGACAAGTGACCTGAGAAGTCCAGCCTTCACTTACTAGAACTCCAGAAAGGGAAACTGAGAACAATTATCAAAAAAAATAAATAAATAAATACAAAAATTTTTTTTAGAACTGAAGGGTATATGGCTCCAAATCAAAGATGCTACCAAGGGCCAAGGACAATATTGAACATTTAGTACAGCACATAACTGAAAGGCATATTAACATGAAAGTTTGCTACATAGAGAAAACAAAGCATCTGAGAGTTTCCAGGGAGAAAAAAATTCAGATTACATACAAAGACTTGGAAACCAAGATGGCACTGAATTGGATGTTAGAACAGTAGAGCGATGCCTTAAAATTTGAGAAGCAAATAATTTCTCACCTATAATTCTATATCCAGCCAAACTGTGAATTAAGGATTATTAAGTAAAATAAAAATATGTTCATAGATGTGAGGCCTTCTGAGTACTAAATCCCATGTATTCATTTATAGGAATCTGAAGGATGAGCTAGTAAACCAAAAAAGAGGGAGATACAGAATCTAGGAAATGGGAGTAAAGGGATGTCCAGGACTACAGTAATACAGCAGGCTTAGAGAGCAAGCAGTGGTGATTAGACCAAGAGGGTGGAGAGCTTGCTTGGGAAAGATGAATGTCTCCCCATAGAAAAAATTTTTACGTACAGTACATGGTGTTGAAAATGTATCACTGAGGGGTTTATAATCCTCTTGGAGAATTTGGAAAAAATCTGTGGTAGAGACAAAGAAGTTTGAGCAAAACAAAAACTTAAGGACTTTTTTTTTTGCAGTACGCGGGCCTCTCACTGCTGTGGCCTCTCATGTTGCGGAGCACAGGCTCCGGACGCACAGGCTCAGCAGCCATGGCTCACGGGCCTAGCCGCTCCGCGGCATGTGGGATCCTCCCGGACCGGGGCATGAACCCATGTCCCCTGCATCAGCAGGCGGACTCTCAACCACTGCGCCACCAGGGAAGCCCGAGGACTTGTTTTTTGATGTCAGATGTTCTTTGAATGTGACAACATGACACAACTGGGTAAGATGATGGCTTAGCTTTGGAGAGGTTACACAAAGAATGAGGTGCAGCACTATGAAGGCATGAGCATAAGTGGAGAAAGAGTGATTTTCCACCCTGACATCTAAAATTGATAAAGACCCAGAAGGAGAAGAGAGGGAGAAAGGGCCTGAGAAAATAATATTTGAAGAGATTATAGCTGAAATCCTCCCTAACATGAGAAAGGAAACAATCAATCAAATCCAGGAAGCACAGAGAGTCCCATACAAGATAAACCCAAGGAGGTACATGCCAAGACACAAATTAATCAAACTGACAAAAATTAAAGACAAAAAATATTAAAAGCAACAAATAACATACAAGGGAACCCTGATATGGTTATCAGCTGATTTTTAAGCAGAAACTCTGCAGGCCAGAAGGGAGTGGCACAATACATTTAACATGATGCAAGGG